ACATACATACATACATGCATGCATACATAAAGGTAAAGGTTCCCCTCGCACATCTGTGCTAGTCGTTCGCGACTCTAGGGGGCGATGCTCATCTCCGTTTCAAAGCCGAAGAGCCAGCGCTGTCCGAAGACATCTCCGTGGTCATGTGGCCAGCATGACTCAACGCCAAAGGCGCACGGAACGCTGTTCCCTTCCCACCAAAGGTGGTTCCTATTTCTCTACTTGCATTTTTTACATGCTTTCAAACTGCTAGGTTGGCAGAAGCTGGGACAAGTCACGGGAGCTCCCTCCGTTACACGGCGCTAGGGATTCGAACTTTGAAAGGCTGTTTGCCAGGCCTTTGCTGAATGTGAGTGAGAGGGATTCACATTCGTTTAATAAAAGGGGTTTTGTCGGGACCAGGATTCTGCCTCGTGGTCAGAACACTATGCTCCCTTCACGACCTGTAGACTTCAGCTCCCAGAATCCCTGAGCCAGCACAGCTGGCTCAGGAATTCTGGGAGTTGAAGTCCACAAGTCATAAACCTACCCCCTGCTTTTAAAGAAAGGAACACTGGATAAGGAAGAGTTTGGTTTCCATTGGTTGAAAGGCAGAGCCTTAACTCTGGAGTAAGGAAATAAACTGTAAATGGAAGGAGGCCTAGAGTTTTCAAGCGTGAGAGGGAAGCTGGCGGGCCAAACTCATTCACACATTTTGTCAGGCAAGGACGGAGGGAAGGGTGCAAAATGAGGAGAGCCTAGCACAGGTTTCCATCGATCAGAAGCAAGATCTACACCAGATTTTGGGAAGTCCCCAAAATGTGGTTTTACGGGATGCTACCATAGAGTAACTCTGCTTTGGGGTAGACAGACATCCCCGTATGGGTTAAGCAGGGGTGGATTTTGGCAGTCACTACTGACAGTTCGCGCCTGCGCAGTGCAATAAAAATAGCTCTGTGCATATGCAAAAGCAAAAAACAAGATGGTGGAACTTAAGGCACTGCTTGGAGAACTGGTTTGGGGGCATGGCAGGCCTGGGTCACTGCCGGTTCCAGCAACCCAGCTCGCCAAACCATTACCAGTTTGGCCAAACTGGGCCGAACTGGTAGGAACCCACCACTGGGGTTAGGGGAGGCGTTTGGCAACCTTAAATACTCAAAGAGCCACAAATGTCCTAACTGGAAGCTCCCCATTCAATTTTGGAGCTGGCCAGTAGTCCAGTTCCAGCACCATAGAGTCTCCTCCTAGCATGTCGTCCTTTTTCCTCTGCTGACNTGTGTGTGTGTGTGTGTGCCCTCTCCTCTGACTCTCCCCATCTCTTGCAAAGCCCAGGCTTTTGGGGGGGGGACCTTGGAGGGTGGGGAGAAGCTCAGTGGTCCTGTCCCTTTGCGTGGTGAGAGAGGGAGGAAAATGAAGGCCCCAGGTAGGATACACATGAGTAAAGGAGGGAGGGGAGAGAGAAGAAGAGAAGAAAAGAGACAGAGGAAGGGAGAGAGAGAATGCGAGAGTAAGGAGGAGAGAGGGGGAGAGAAAGAGAGGAAGAAAGACAGGAAGAGAGAGGAGAGAGGGATGGAGATGTTGCTTAGGATCTTGATGGGCTTATAAGCGAAGCCCCTGTCCGTCCAGCCCGGCCCCACTTTCCCTCCGGGGCTGCTTGTGTTGGTTGGGGGCGTCTGCATTCACTGGAGTGTTTTAAGAGCATCTCTCCAGCTCCGGTTGCAGGGCCCCCATTATTCTCTGCCAGAGGGATGCTCATCACCCCATAACCCTCACAAGCGTGGTTTATTAAGGAAATGAGTTACGTAAAGGGAACAATGGGGATATTTTCTAATGGAAGGATGAGATTGTTCAAATGCACAATTCTCAGGTTGTTTCATTCTTTGAAAATAAAGAGTTTTTCCCTCCAGCTAAACCAGCCTTTCGTGATTCTGTCTTCAAATTACATTTACGGAGACTTTCACGAGCCTCACTCCCACGATTGCCCTCCGGGGTCTTTGGAGGAGGAGGATCTGACCAGGCAGAGCGAAAAGGCCTTCAGAGAAAGCGGGGAGGGGTCCTGGGGGAGCCGCTCAGCTCCTGTAGGGAGAGGGACATCAGCCCATCTTTCACCCCAAGGACACGGAAGGACCTGGGTCACCGGCTTCACCTCCTCACCAAGCTTGAAGGACCGCTGTCCACAATGGGCAGCTGAAGGCCTGAGCACCGTCCTTGGAGGAGATGGTGATGGGACGGGCCCCACAACTTAGCTGCCCCACAGAACGTAGAATAATAAGAGTTGGAAGGGGCCTTGGAGGTTCAACGCCCTGCTCAAGCAGGAGACCCTCCACCACTGCAGGCAAAACGGTGGTCTGATCCCATCCAGTGATGAAGCACCCGCAACTTCTGGTGGCAAGCTGTTCCCCTGGTGAATTGTTTTCACTATCAGGAAACTTCTCCTTAATTCCAGATTGCTTTCTCCCTCGGATTAGTTTCCATCTGTTGTTTCTCGTCATGCCTTTGGCTGCTTTGGGAAATAATTGAGCCCAAATTTTCTGCTGCTTGAGCCAGTTGTTAAGTGGATTTTGCTCCATTCTGCACCTTTCTTGCCACAGCTGTTAAGTGAATCGCTGCACTTGTTCAGTTAGTAACACGGTGTCAGGCTTCCAAGTAACATGTCCCATGAAATAAAATCAAAGGTATCCATTTTCCATTAAAGCCTATTTATTTTATTTTCAATTCCAGATGATGGATTTATTTTATTTTCAATTCCAGA